AGTTAACCACCACAATTATTGCACCAGCCACATTTATATATGAGCTGCGCCACAAACCTGGCAAACATTTCAGATTTGCGTGACGTATAGTTGTGATAAATAGATTTTTAATTACAAAATGAAACGCGGAGGGATGTGACTCCGGTGACAAATTATATCACATGAAATTTCGTGTTTTTGAAGGTTACGCAGGGGAAATCTAAGATTATGTGCAGTTAGTAATTTTTCTCCAGACGACCTTTTTTTTTATCGTCCTTGTGACTCCGTTGACATGGCATGGCTATTCGATAGAAGGAAGATTTTTTACAATAATTTCCTTTTATTAGCTTAAATAATAAATAATAAAATTTTCTTTTTTTGTTTCTTTTAAATTATTTTGCCTTGATTGAGTTTTTACATCTCTTCGGAAACGGACCCATCACAAGTATGTTCAAGACATTATATTCTGTAATAACAGAATGTGTTGAATTGAAATACTGTATATATCATACCTCTTAGTAGATGAACAAAATATCTTGTGTAACCAACACAAATCATGTTGTAAGACATTACTCGGTAGTATCTCTACGCCGCTAAAATAAAAGCTGTTACTTTATTTATATTTCAAACATTAATTAATTTTATTTTACATAAAATAAAATTCATTGAAATTATGACTTGCAAAAATTATAAATTGCTTTTCTTATTTACATTAAGCTATTTTCTCATTAGAGTCAAGTCGTTTACACCTTTAGGACGTTATACTCCTTCCTCTACTCTTGTTGAAAATAAACTTTATTTCTTTGGCGGAAACATTGGTCCTATTGGTAATTGTATAAATGAAGTGATATATCTAGATTTATCTCAACAATTTAATGTAGAATTTCCGTTATGGAATGATCTTACATCTGATTCAGGAATAAATTTTAGAAGTTGTTGGGGAGCTTCAGCACTTGCTAAAAATGATAACAACCCGACTATTTACCTAATTGGAGGAGTAATGCGAAATCAAAATAATGAAGATTCTTTTACTTCACTGGTATATGCATTTAATCCAAAATCAGGAAAATGGAGTATGCCCGTAATAAAAGGACAAGAGCCAAAAAGACGTGAGGATTTTCATGTTGTCACCGATGGTTTTGGAAATATTTATGTTTTTGGTGGAGTGGCGGATTCCTTAGTAGGAACACCATCTCTTCAACTTTTTAATGATATGACAATTTTAAATACTGAGGATTTAACATGGTCATATGGCTCTATGATCAATGCTCCCGTACCACTAGCACAATCTAGCTGTACATTATTGTCAAATGGTATTATTATTTATATTGGAGGTTTTACGCTTATTGACATAAATTTACAAGAAGTAGATATTAATCGAATTAACCTTTATGATACTAAGTTGGGATTTTGGTCAGTGGTGGTATGTCTTGTATATTATTATAATCTCCTTTGTGAAATTTATGCAATATATATAATTTTTATAATTTTATTTAATAATTAAGATGGCAAAAGGTGATTCTACAATTGAATCTCGCTCTTTTCATTCCGCTGTATTAGGTATAACATTATTATAATAAATCTTTAATTTGCATGGTAACTTTATTAAATATATTATTGTTATTAGCTCCTGACGGAAAAATCATTATTTATGGTGGGTCAAAGGCCATTACACAGTTTGGTTTTCGTAAAGTCACTCCAGACTTGGTGGTCTTAAATACTCAAACATCTCCATTTACATGGACTGTGCCAGAAGTATCATCAAAAGTTGGTGAAGTTCCGTCACTTACATCTCATACAGCAGATTTATATGGAAATTATATGATTGTCGCTTTCGGTATATAATGATCTACATTTTTGTATAAACTTTTAAGTTAAATATTAACTTTTTTGTATTATAGGAAATGTTACTCAACAAAATGCTTATCCAGTTGATACAAATTCAAAAATTTATTTGTTAGATATTAAAAGTTATACTTGGGTTAATAGTTTTGAACCTACATCTTTAACGACTACAGCACCTTCAACAGCTACAAATGCTTCAAGTACTTCAGAAAATCAATCAGATCAATCAAATAAAATGAAAGTTATAATTGGTACAATGAGTGGATTTATCTGCCTCACTATTTTTCTTGCAATTGGCGTTTTTGGTTATAAATGGTATCAAAAAAGAAAGCTTCATGATATTATGAGAATTTCTGGTAATACTACATTATAATATATATAGCAAATCTAATACATTATTCTTATTATTTAAGTAGTAAAATTAAGCAATTTTATCATTTGTGATACAAAGTTCGTTCGTCTAGCTATATTAAGAACGTTTCTGAATTTAAATTTAAAAAGATTAGAAACTTGGTCGTTTCCACTTTCGATATTAGGTTTATTTCTAAATTGAATTTAACGCATATTCACGTTTATTAATAAACAAAACTAGAACAAAATAAACAAGTCTGAAATGAATCTGTAATTACGGTGTCTATTTTTTATATAACTATAATTTTCCATTGCTTTATTAACCATTTACACCTTTGAAGGAACTTTCATCTTTACGAAACTTGTTCTAGACGATAACACTTACGCTAAAAATTGTAATATTGCATCACAAGTTCTTAATATAATCTTTTTACTTTATTTACCTTTCCTTTGTTTATAAATATAACATTAAGAACTACTAATTGTAACAATAATAAGAGTTTTTTTAAAAAAAGTTTATATTTTTTTTTTTTTTTTTTTCTTTTTTTTTTTTACTGAATCTTCATAATCGGACAGGCAGTACTTATCGTTATTATTTAATTCCGAAATATAATACTGACCTGATATAAAATTTTATTTATGATTGATTCATCCCATGGATTAAAATTTTTTTTTTTGCTCACTTGCGATTGTTTAAATTATTTTATGAGCCTGTTTATATCTGAAATTCTTCAAATTTAATCATCGCCCGACGAATAAACGGTCAAATAGCATTTTTCGGAAAAAGTTAAATTGAAATCACTATTGTTTCGTTTCAAGGGGAAAATTTAATCCAATTAACTGCGGAACTTAGGAAAAGGTTTAGTTTTGATCACTTTGGCGATACAAATCTAGCAAGAACTAACTCATTTTTCTAACATACACAACATTTTACTATGAAAAATTCATAATTTTTATATAATTCTCATAATTTAGAAATTTATGTTTACATTGAAATAAATACATGTGGGAAGTTTGCTAGGAAAATCAGGTTCTGAGAATTTTTTGACGAAAATTAAGACCTTATTACATTTTAATATAAAACTAAAATGCAATAAAAATCAAAATTTGTTAAAAAATTCCCAAAGCCAGATTTTCCTAGCATCTTCCCATGTCTTAAAAATTTGTTCACGTGGCAGCAGTATGTGAAGCGCTCTTAAATTATTTCGCAGCAAAGTTCGTTATTAATAAAAGGTTTAAATTATTAAAAGGTCCGAAGTGTTCCAATTCTTAGAAATTCAAAAAAAGGAAATTTCGCTTAAAATGTAAATGTTTAAAATCGATTTTTATAGTAAGGCCTAAAAAATCTTTAACGGTTAATTAACCGGAATTTGGAGTTCTAAAAGAGATAGATGTACAATTAATATTTTTTTCGCAGTTCGCTTTCCTTTATTTGCTGCGTATTTACACCTCTTTCTCCTTGCCTTCGCTATTTTAACTTTATAATTTTACTTATTATAACGTTGTAATTTTTTTAATTTCGTTGTCTTAATTTCTCAGTTATTTTTTATTCCGATTATTTTTGCGTAGTTTTAATTAATAACATTTAGTAATTAGAGTATAATAAATTAGAAATGTAGAGCGCCGACAACATTGATTAATTAACATCTATTAAATAAATTTGCGTCATAATTACTTCAATATTCTCCAATTAAACCTTACAAAATACATAAACGAAATGAACTGAATAAACACCTTTCTTTTTTCACAAAAAAAAAAGAAAAATAGTTCACATTTCACAAATTAGATTTTTAAAGGTTTCGGATCTTTTATCGGGAAAAATATCTCGCGCTTTAATTCAAGCCAGCCATTTGAAAATGACAAAATTGATTAAATATTAATGTAATTAATGAAAGTACGTTCTCAAAATTATAGTATAATTCTATGAATAACACATATTGCGAGGATCAGACTTTATATCTCTTTAAACATGGTTGTAATATAATGTTAGTTTTTTAAGAAATAAAAAAATTAATGTTTTGAATTCAAACAGAATTCCATCGTAAATTTCTAATATTATTAATATCCTATGAATTACCGGTGACTAAAAATATTAGTGAAAAATCAAATCTATATTACAATTTTACGCAACTAAATAGTTACACTAATTCTTGAAGTTTTCAAATTTTAGTTTAAAAAAATCTTTCGCCGTCATTCTTTTAGAAATCATTTTTCAGATAATCACAAAAATTATAATTTTCTCCTTCAAGAATGTGTACATTAAATAAAAAGTAGATTACTAAACAAAAGAAATCTCCTTTTCAACTCGATAACTCATAATTTTGGAATATAATCGAGTTAATGTGTGAATGCCATGAAAATAACAGATTTTTCTGAAGAATTCATGTTAACATTGTGCCCTAAATGTCATTCATAACCAGTTTAATTGTCTAGGTAAAAGGAAAACTTAACCAGCTAAAACTACAATTCATTAATTTACTATAATTTATTTTACTACTTCTCAACAAAAGAAATTTTCAATAAAAGTATCATCGTTTTTTTTTTTTAGCAAGACGACGTGAAGATTTTAGATAAATGAAGCTTCTATTGAAATAACAAATTTAAGATTTTTAGGGGGTCCGATTATCTGAAAACGAAAATGAATGGCGCAGTTAATTTTTTTTTTAAAAAAAAAATTGTCTATCAGCTATTTACCAAATGTTACTCTACATTTATTAAAATGTCGATCGGCGTATCACAGTATCCAAATATTTATTTCATTTGAAATGGGCGTAAAAGTTGTAAATATAATTAAATCACACTCTAATCACTCTAACCTAATAAAAATGTCAAAAGATACCGAATTTAAAAATTTGAATTATTGGTTAGAGAAATCAATTGTTGAAAAACATATCAAATATTATGAATATTTGGATTTCAATCATATAAAATTGATAGGAGAAGGTTCATACGGAAATGTTAATCTTGTTAAGTGGAGAAGTACTCGTCTATTTGCTTTGAAATCTTTTAATAATAATAAACAATCTCTTAAAGAAGTAATAAAGGAGGTAATATGTCATAAATTTCTTCCAATTTATTCCAAAAAGTTTGATGAATTATACGTCTAACTGTGCTTACGCCACAGTTAAGATTGCATCGAAGCGTTGATGATCATGAAAATATTATACGATTATTTGGAATCACGAAAAATGGCAAGTAATAGAATTTATATAATGTATTTGATTAGGATTAATCCCTTCCTAATAATAAAAAAATTTTTTATTTAGATGATACCCGAACGATCAAATACTCTTTAGTATTGGAATATGCTGATAGTGGTACGTTAAGTACCTATTTAAAACAGCATATTAATGAACTAGGTTGGGATGATAAATTTCACTTGGCCCTGCAATTGACAAACACGATAAAATTTTTACATGATGAGGATATAATCCATCGTGATTTGGTAATTTATTTTAATCTTTAATAAATTTTATTTCATTTTTTTACGAAAAAAAAAATATAATTAGCTAAAGTTTTTATTTTAAATTAAAGCATGCAAATAACATACTTATGCATCAGAAAAATATCAAATTAACAGATTTTGGCTTATCAAAAAAGATTGAAGAAGTATCAAGTAATACTTCAAGAATAATTGGTGTCGTGCCTTATATGGATCCAAAAAGTTTCAGTCATAGTAAAACTTACAAATTAAATAAAAAGTCAGATGTTTATAGCATTGGAATTTTAATGTGGCAAATTTCAAGTGGGCGTCGACCCTTCGAAGATCTAGCATATGATATAGATTTAATGTTTGATATAATTAGTGGGAAAAGAGAAGAAATTATTGATGGAACCCCTGTTGAATATAGTAACCTATATAAAGGTAAATAATAATCATTTATTATATCAATTATAAAAAACTAATTTATTTGATTGTTAATAAATTAGTGTGTTGGAAATATGAGCCAGGTGACCGTCCAGATATACAAAACGTTGTGTCAGCTCTTCAAATGATAATTCCTTCCGAACATCATGATGTGCCTATCGTCAGATTTAATGAAAACGTAAAAGACAATTTATTAAATCAAGACGAATCAAATTCTAAATCGAGCAAAGGAACTATAGATAAAGAATTAATGATAAATTCAAATGAATTTGAAAGCGGTTCAAGTTTACAAGATACAAAATCTATTCAACTTTATATAACGAAATCCGATAATATTTCATCAAGTTCATCATTTCAAGCTACAAATTTATCAAGAGATTCTTTTGAGTCAACGTTAAATAATATCAATAATATTGTTGTTGATAAATTAATTACAATAATAATTAAGAAGTTTGATAGGGGCATTACTTTTGATCATATTAAACAATTCATCAATCAAAAAGCATTGCAATTCAATCAAAATACAGATGTACTCATAAATTGGCTAGAAGATCAGGTTAAAACTCAATGCGTTTGGTTTCTTGGATTGCTGTATTTCTATAGCATTGGTACAGAAGAAAACTGTACTAAAGCATTTGAACTATTTTCAAAAGCATCAGAAGATAACTATCCAATAGCTCAAGTTTATCTTGCTAAATGTTATAATGGTGGATATGGAATTGAATGCAATAAAAAGTTGTCATTTAATTTGTATAAAAATTCGGTAGAAAATGGTAGTGTTATTGGACAATTTTATTTAGGATATTGTTACGAATATGGTATTGGAACTGAAAATGATGAAAAACAATCATTTTGTTGGTATAAAAAGGCGGCCGCTAATGGGAATACAATTGCAAAACTTTATCTCGCAGCATGTTACAGATTAGGAAAAGGTGTCAAAAAAAATGAAATTAAAGCTTTTTTGTATTATAAAATATTGGCTGATAAAGAAATTTCTGAGGCACAATTTCAACTTGGCAATTTCTATCACTATGGAATTGGAACTAAATTAGATAAAGTACAAGCCGGTTGTTGGTATGAAAAGGCAGCAATTAATGGAGATATTGCTGCAAAATATATTCTTAAAAAATATTATCATAAAGAAATAAAAGATGAAATAAAAAATTCTATTAAAAATATCAAATTTAAAGGATTAAATCAACTTGGTTTATATTATATTGGAAGGATATTAGTAAAAACTAATTATGAGAAGGCACTTTATTATTTTCAAAAATCAGCAGAAAATGGATATAAAGTGGCACAATTTAATTTAGGAAACTGTTATAGATTAGGAAAAGGTATGAAGAAAAATGAAAGAAAAGCTTTTGAGTTATTTACTAAATCAGCTGCGCAAGGACACATAGATGGAAAATTTCGACTTGGATATTGTTATGATTATGGAATTGGAACTGAAATTAATAAAACCAAAGCATTTGAATTATATAAAATTGCTGCTAAAAAAGGAAATCGTGAAGCACAAAATAATCTTGCGGTATTATATGAACAAGGTAAATGTACAGAAAAAAATCTAAATATGGCCATTTATTGGTATAATGAAGCGGCTGAAAGTGGAGATGAAGTTGCACAATATAATTTAGGTAACTTTTATAGATCAGGCAATGGCGTTGAAAAAAATGAAACAAAAGCTTTCGAATATTATAAAAAGTCGGCTGAAAAAGATCATCTAGATGCACAATTTCAATTAGGATATTGCTATTATTATGGAATTGGAACTGATATTGATAAAGAAAAAGCATTTGAGTTTTATAAAATAACAGCTGAAAAAGAATATGGTATAGCTCAATGTAGTCTTGGATATTTGTATGAAAATGGAGAAGGTACAGAAAAGAATTTAGAAAAGGCTATTTATTGGTATCATAAAGCAGCAGGAAATGGAAATGAAGTTGCACAATATAATTTAGGCTTCTGTCATGAATTTGGAAATGGAGTTGATAAAGACGAAATTAAAGCATTTGAATATTATAAAATATCAGCTGAAAATGATTATGTAATTGCACAATTTCAACTTGGATCCTGTTATGATTGTGGGGTAGGAATTGATATTGATAAAGGAAAAGCATTTAAATTATACAAAATAGCAGCTAAAAAAGGATATGGAATGGCTCAATGTAATCTTGGACATTTATACGAAAATGGAGAGGGCACAAAAAAGAATTTGAATAAAGCTATTAATTGGTATATTAAAGCAGCAGAAAATGGAAATGAAGTTGCACAATATAATTTAGGTTTATGTCATGAATTAGGAAATGGTGTTGATAAAGATGAAATTAAAGCATTTGAATATTACAAAGAATCAGCTGAAAATGATTATACAAAATCACAATTTCAACTTGGATATTGCTATGATCATGGAATTGGAATTGGTATTGATAAAGGAAAAGCATTTGAATTATATAAAATAGCAGCTAAAAAAGAATTTGATATAGCTCAATATAGTCTTGGATATTTATATGAAAATGGAGAAAGTACAGAAAAAAATATAAAAAAGGCTATTTATTGGTATAATAAAGCAGCAGAAAATGGAAATGAAATTGCACAATATAATTTAGGTGAATTTTATGAATTAGGAAATGGAGTTAATAAAGATGAAAATAAAGCATTTGAATATTATAAAAAATCAGCTGAAAATGATTACACAAAAGCACAATTTCAACTTGGATATTGCTATGATTATGGAATTGGAATTAATATTAATAAAGAAAAAGCATTTGAGTTTTATAAAATAACAGCTGAAAAAGAATATGATAAAGCTCAATGTAGTCTTGGATATTTATACGAAAATGGTATTGGCATAATAAAAAATTTGGAAAAAGCTATTTATTGGTATATTAAAGCTGCAGAAAATGATAATGATATTGCACAATATAATTTAGGAAATTTTTATAGATTAGGAAAAAATATTGAAAAAAATGAAACTAAGGCTTTTGAATATTATCAAAAATCAGCTATAAATGGAAATCATAGAGCACAAAATAATCTTGCAAAATTATATGAAAAAGGTGAATGTATAGAAAAGGATTTAGAAAAAGCTATTTACTGGTATAATCAAGCGGCAGAAAATGGAAATGAATTTGCACAATATAATTTAGGTGAATGTTATAGATTAGGAATTGGTATTAATAAAAATGAAATTAAAGCATTTGAATATTATAAAGATTCAGCTGAAAAAGGTTATACAAATGCATTATTTCAACTTGGTTATTGTTATGAATATGGAATTGGAACTGATATAAATAAGGAAATAGCATCTAAATTTTATAAAATAGCAGCAGAAGAAAAGAATTTGATTTAACATAATATTATCTTGAATATTTATAAAAAAAAAGTAATTTATTAGCATAATAAAGCAAAAATGAATTTATAAAATAAATTATGTAAATCTTTTAATTTATTATTATTATTGAACATTTTTACAATTTGATAATATATAAACTTAAATTAAAATCTTTTAAAATTTATTTTCACTTTTCAAAATAATATTTCTCTTTTAAAAAAAAATCTTAAAAGAGTTTAATTTTAAAATTAAACTAATAAATTATAATAGATAAATTTTACAGTATATACATATACTTATAATATATCTTATAATTTGATGTATATATAAAATTAAAATAAATGAATATTGTAATAGTATTATATTAAGCATTCATTAAGATATTCATTTAACTAATAATTATATAAAACATTCTTATCCAATTATTAATTCTAAATAAACATTTTAAATAATCTAATATTTGCTTTAAGAATTTTTATAAGAATATATTTTTAAATTATTATAAAAAGTAAACAAATATATCATATTTAAATTTTCTTACTATCTCACTTTCTACTATATTTTACATATAACTTTAAACTAAATCTGCTAAATCTGTAAAATTTGCTATAACTTTATAAATACTTTATTATTTCAAGTATATAATAATTTTATAGCTTAATATACATATAAAATAGCTATAATTCTTGATTAAGTATATTCATATTTAATTTAATAAGCTTTTTAAATTATAAAATATATTAAGATTTTATTATTAATTATATAACATTAAAATTTTCTAAAATATATGTTAATATTTTTAAAGATACATTCTTTATAAATTAAAGTTCAATTTTGCAAAAATAAAAAATGAAAGTAGATTTTAAAAATAATAATAAATAAATAAATAAAATTTAAGAAACTAATTATTATAAAATTACAAATAAAATACTTATTAAATTATTATTACAATTTTTCACATAAAAATTAAGCTAATTAGACTGAAAACTAATTAATA